GACAGAAGAGCCAGTAGCCCTGCAGGTCGGCTGTATGATGTTGAAGGCCTCCCCTGGAGCTGCAGGACCAGTGGGCCAACGTCAGGTCACTAGAACCACAGGCGATACAGGTCTCTCGAGTAGAGGCCGGATGTGCAGGATGGGGAAGAGCGTGCAGGGAGAGAGAGATTGAGATTGAAACTGATTTATTACAATGTCCATATAAGATTATATAAGGTTAAATACAGAATAAATATAAGTAGAACGGATTTTTTTTGTCAATTATACCGCAAATGTTTATTTTGAACGAAAAATCGAAATTTATTTTATGGAGAAATAACGATTATTTCTAACCTTAGGGATGAAGTATGAAAGAATGAATTGTGAAGAGTAATGATAAACGGAAAATAGTGTCCAGGGATAAGCGGATCACTGTGGATTCAATTCCCATCCCTGGATACTTTATTTTTCCGTTTATCATTACTCTTCACAATTCATCCTATCATACTTCATCCCTGGGGTTAGAAATAATCATTATTTCTCCTTGAAATAAATTTCTATTTTTCGTTCAAAAGAAACATTTGCGATATAATTGTCAAATTTCGTTCTACAATTATAAGCCGCATTATATTGTATTATAAATATAAGTATGAATAAATAAGGTTATATAAGGATAAATATATGAATAGATAGATATAAATATTAAAAATTGATAAAAAATACACCTATATATTTAAGAATATATACAGTATTCATCGGTAGCGCCCACCGCGGGTAGACTCCGCCACCGATGGACTGCGAGAGTTCTTTCCCACAGAGTGGGCAGGTCGATAAAGAGGGAGAAATTGAATATACTTCTATTACATCGTACATATAAAGTTATATAGGGTTAATAGGAGAAAAAAAGTAAAATTAAATATTATTTACATCAGACGAATCCCACTGAGTGTCGTCTGGTATGATGCCACGTCCTGAAGTCGGACAGATCTTCCCGACTATTGCCATGTCGAGGTATTCCTTCAGAACAGACCTCAGAGAAAGAGAGATTGTTGGTCTCTATAGGGTTGAAAATTTTCTAAAACTCAAATATCTGTTTTCATTTACATTCATAGACAAAACTTAAGGAAATTCCACCTTGTATGTATTTCTACTCTGTCCCCTTAAAGCTTATGTCCATAGTTTATTTAAAATACCCTTTCTAAGAGTCTAGTTTTAGTATCAGTATACAATAAACCGAAAAAAAGCAATATTACAGCGATATGGTAGATTAAACTGGCGAAACCGCTTGAAGGGTTCACCACTAATGAGCAAAGCGTTCCCATTATTTAACCATTGTAGTAAGGGCAGTAGAAAAAATTGACTTATTTAAAAAAGAATCATCAAAAATGTTTAAAATTCTTATTATTCAATCCAAATCCATATCTCTTGATGATAAAATGAAGTGTAGATTAGAGAGAATTATTTACAGATGAGTTGAAGACAAGCCACACAGAAACAATTGTATCCAGGGGGGAGACAAAGTTTGTGTCTACACCGCGGCCCCCCGCTGCGGTATTTTGTTGACCCAAGCCCCCACCCCCGTGTGGTCCAGCCACTGACATCATCATCAGCTCATTAGCCCCTGTCATCATTATCTCCCCCCCCACTGCCTTGCCACATGCTCTCTGATTGTTTTCTTGGTAGCTCCACAATAACACTTATATTGGATGCATTATCGCGCCATCTGTTAGAAAAATTTGAAACTATTATTTTCCAAGAGTCTAGTGTCAAATTATATTGACAGACATTTTGAGGTATTTTTTTCTGATCAGTTTTTAGCGGGAAGAACGTTGTCTTCGTTTTTTAGTGAACCAATCTCTCCCGTCTTCTCATTGGACGAATGTGGCCATGTCTGTATATAAGAGGGGACTAAGGGAATGCGAGAGGGCCCAGAGCGTGGAGAATTGGTGTGGAGACGCTTGAAGTGTTTTTCTACGTGATTTATCCGTGTCTGGGGATCTCTTCGCATCCCGGTGTGACCCGAGTCCGATCCCTACCAACGCTACAATAAAGATAAGTACTGTTTTGTTTTTTATTTTACAAATCGTGAGTTTTATTTACCTCCTTCCTGTTGTTGTACTCTTGAGTGTACGCTGTGTATTAAGTTACATTTGCTTTAGGCCCTAGTATATTCCATTTTTGGGTAATAACCCGTGATAGTAGCTTTTGTCACTAACATCAGTATCACTATAAATGGAAGATCGAAAAATACAATATAACAGCGGTATGGTAGATTAAACTGGCGAAACCGCTGGGAGGTTCACCACTGATGAGCCAGGCCCTTCCAATATTGTTTCATCGCAGTGTAAGGACAGTAAAAGTTTGATTTATTTGTTAAAAGATACATTCACGTCTTAATGTCTTCATTTGTTGTATATAATAACAGTCTTTTTGTTCCCTCGTACAAAGAAAATATAAAAATTATCGAAAATGCATTGAAGCCTGAAAAGAACTATATTTTCGTTTGAGAAGATAAAAATATTTCTCTTTTTTTATAATTAAAGAGAAAACTTAAGGAAGTTGTACCTTTTAGCATTTATATCGGGAATCAGACAATAACTCTGAAAGATATTACAGTGACCTTTATTGAAGACACACGAGATAACCAAGTATGAACAAAATTGCCTATCTCCTTCAAAAATACAGGCAAACGGTTACATCAAAGACTTTCCACTTCCTTAAGTGTTGTCCATGAGTGTATTTATTAAAGCGTTGACAATAATTCGGCAATGTTTCACACAAAAAGAGAGAGCGATCTAGAGGTGGAAGGATAACCAAATCTATCCCGTCGTTTGATTCTTCGGTCAAGTTGAAATGTTCACTTACCTAGAGGGGGTCGGTGGAAGGCTGGTTAAACCGTTTGGTTTTCGACCACTACGACCCGGGTTCGATTCCCGCATTGGACACTTTTTTTTCTGAATAAAAAAAAATGCTCCAAAGGCCCCCGATTCTTGCAAAAGTCCAACCCCACCAGCGAGTGCAAGTAACCAAACGGGGCTCTGGCACATTTGTAAGTGCAAAGTCGAACTGCTTTTCACATGTAAAGACATGTGGTGCGCTTACAGTAAAAGCAGTCACTAACTACCCAACATGATTATCATGGCCTGTATCACGTGTACTAGGGATAATTAAAAAAAAAAAACTTACCTAGAACTACGTTTGTATTTCCAAGTGTGTATATTGGAAGTTGATCTATAAAAAGAGGGATCACCCCTCCCGTCAAAATAGACGCTAAAACGATGCACCATATATTGACTATAAGAGATTTTAAACTCCTGTGCTCATTTAAATAAGTCAATTTTGAGTCGTGTTTGTGTATTCGAACAATAAAAATTAAAACAAGAAATTGTTTTGTAGTTTTTGAAATATTGATTTCATATATTGCATTAACAAAGATGTCTTTCTTCGTCAACATTTAAAGCAGACCACTCTAGTCGTGCTTATTCCTAGTATACGTGATACAGGCCATGATAATCATGGTAGGTAGTAGGCGACTGCTTTTACTGTAAGGGCACCGCATGTCTACTAATGCGAGAAGCAGTTCGACTTTGCACTTACAAATGTGCTAGAGCCCCGTTTGGTTATTTGCACTCGCTGGTGGGGTTGGACTTTTGCAAGAATCGGGGGCCATTCGAGAATTCTTTTTTTTTTTTTTTTTTCAACTAGAAAAAAGTGCTCAATGTTGGAATCGAACCCAGGTCGTATCGGTCGAAAACCAACGGTTTAGACCATCCTTCCACCGACTACCTAACTTTAGTCTTAAATGTCATAAAAAGGTTATCAAAATTAGATCAAAATGAATTTTAAAAACTGATAAGATTTCCAAGTTTTTCAAGTTTGAACTCGTGAAGCAACACACACAGAATGATGCAGAGGTTTCTTGTTTTGATATCATTTGTTAAAACACTCTGAAATTACACTATATATATATTATCAAGAAATTGGGTTGGCTAAATATCAGGGAACAGGCTAAATCAATGTTTAGTTGATTTTTGTTCCACCAGATGGCGCTCTGCCTTCTGAAAAACACATGTGCTCCTGGTCAGGATATGCCTACTTTGTTTTTAATATCAACACCTGACCCACTTATTTTTTTATATTGTTTTTCATATATATAAAGGTTTTATAATATTTAAAGAAAGTTATAGAAAATATTGATGTCGAATTGAGAGTATAATGTCAGTATAGTAAGCTATTACTGAGAACAATAAAGTAGAATTAATCATCTTAATCATCATTAATTTACAACTATCGTTCATATAAATTATATTTAATTCTATTATATATACATAAACTTTAAGTCCTCCACACTTACACTACATATTGAATCAGTTTTTTTTTGTAATAAATAGCTACATAAACTAATTTTTTTTTTTCCGACGTTACAGTAAATCGCTGTTTCTCTCCACATTCCCATGTCAAGCCCGGGCAGTACTTGGGAGGGTGACCACCTGGAAACACCGGCTGTAACTGTAGGCTATTACCTTTTGTTTCTGTTGTGTAGTGGTTATCACATCCGCCTAACACGCGGAAGGTCCCAGGTTCGAGCCCTGGCAGAAACATATTTTTTGTCTACAGCCATACCACATTGAAAACACCGGTTCTCGTCCGATCACCGAAGTTAAGCAATGTCGAGCCTGGTCAGTACTTGGGAGGGTGACCACCTGGGAACACCGGCTGTAACTGTAAGCTATTATCATGTTTCTGTTGTGTAGTGGTTATCACATCCGCCTAACACGCGGAAGGTCCCAGGTTCGAGCCCTGGCAGAAACATCTTTTTTGCTTTACTACATTGAAAACACAGGTTCTCGTTCGATCATCGAAGTTAAGCAATGTCAGGCCCGGACAGTACTTGGGAGGGTGACTACCTGGGAACACCGGCTGTAACTATAGGCTATTATCATGTTTCTGTTGTGTAGTGGTTATCACATCCGCCTAACACGCGGAAGGTCCCAGGTTCGAGCCCTGGCAGAAACATCTTTTTTGCTTTACTACATTGAAAACACAGGTTCTCGTTCGATCATCGAAGTTAAGCAATGTCAGGCCCGGACAGTACTTGGGAGGGTGACTACCTGGGAACACCGGCTGTAACTATAGGCTATTATCATGTTTCTGTTGTGTAGTGGTTATCACATCCGCCTAACACGCGGAAGGTCCCAGGTTCGAGCCCTGGCAGAAACATATTTTTTGTCTACAGCCATACCACATTGAAAACACCGGTTCTCGTCCGATCACCGAAGTTAAGCAATGTCGAGCCTGGTCAGTACTTGGGAGGGTGACCACCTGGGAACACCGGCTGTAACTGTAAGCTATTATCATGTTTCTGTTGTGTAGTGGTTATCACATCCGCCTAACACGCGGAAGGTCCCAGGTTCGAGCCCTGGCAGAAACATCTTTTTTGCTTTACCACATTGAAAACACAGGTTCTCGTTCGATCATCGAAGTTAAGCAATGTCGGGCCTGGTCAGTACTTGGGAGGGTGACCACCTGGGAACACCGGCTGTAGGCTATTACCTTTTGTTTCTGGTTAGCAGCTCCGTAAATAAAGATATTTCCGTTCCACATTATCTTGAAGAGAGTAACAGCGACTCACTGAAACATCTGTAATTAAATAAATAATTGTTTGATGTAGCCAATTCTTTTTCCAAACAAACTTCCACAACCTACAATTGATATTCAAAAAAATATTGAATCACGTAAAGACAGTTCAAGGCTGTAGTAATTTAAAAATGTTAAATCGGGAGCTTTGAAGATATTCGTTATTAATATAAATCAATAACACGCCATCTATATATATTTCACACACATACACTCAAAGATTTATTAAGACCACCGGTCTTATACAGATTCACCACAGGAAGAAAGGAATCATAGATAGAGCTCCTATACTCCAGGTAGCACATCACCCAACAACAGCCTCCAGGTCCGATGCATGTCCAATGCCCACATGTATTTATATATATCAAATGAAGACATTAAGACGCGAATGTTTCTTTCACACATAAATCAAACTTCTACTGTACTGCAATGAAAAAAAATATTGGGAGATCTTGGCTAATCAGTGTTTAACCTTCGCAGCGGTTTCGCCAATTTAATCTACCAGACCGCTTCTTTAGAACTCAAATATGATGAGCCAAGCCCTCCCAATATATTTTTATTGCAGTAAGAACATTAGAAATTTGATTTATGTGTGAAAGAAATATTCGTGTCTTAATTTTTTCATTTGCTATATTCGTTATTACTTTTCAAACTGTCTTAATTCAGAACACTCATCGTGGTGTTGTTGTAAGCTGCCGTTCGGAAGGTTACTACCTACTAGATGAAAGAGACCTCCTCCGTACCATCAAGACCCAATGCCTGCAGGAATGGAAATCTAACGCTGCACATGACTGGTACAGAGCAGGAGGGACAAGCACCGGTTCTGTCCTCCCAAGAGAACAACAGTCTGATTTCCAGACTTGAGTCTGGTCATCTACGGATAATGAATTTCCAGAATGGTTGCAAGGTTTTCCCACTATGTACTAAGTGTCAACCTGCAACCCCAAAACACATTATTGACTGTATTGACTTATCCATTGATGAGCTCTACTCTTCCCCGGCAGACACCATCAAAAGTCTCAAGCTTTACAAGCTTGATACCTTGATATGATTGAGTGGAGATAAGAAAGAAGAAGACACATCCCCAGCAGACACCATCAACAAGCTCTACAAGCTTGATACCTTGATATGATTGAGTGGAGATAAGAAAGAAGAAGAAGGTTACTACCAGCCATGTATTGGGCTACCAAAGACCTATATATAGTGAACACTACTAGACTTATAGTGAAGCAATTTTCCCAGTGAAGAGTTCTCCATTATGAAAGAACTACAACTTATAGAGAGGGAGGTTCCCAATAAGTTTACCGCCCACAAAGGGAAGGTGATGGCTTGCCTTGGAAGCAATTATCTTTAAAAGAAACTATGGACTTCATACCTTGTAATTTCGACTCCGTCTGCCCGCCCTTTGTCTGATGGCACGTCCGCTTGTCATCGCTCTCATTCATGGCCCACACGGGCTGTGGAGTATCTGGTAGGTCTATGATGATATAGCTTCTCGAAATTGGTATAGTTGTGTGTGGATTAAATACAGATTCATTCGTTCATTTAACACAATCTTTATTTGAACATCCAGTCTTATAAACAGAAGAATGTGAGGAACGTGATTCATTGAGGTTCTCTCTCTCTCTCTCTCTCTCTCTCTCTCTCTCGGTTAGAGAATAATGTAGACTCGTAGACTTAAGGAAGTTGTACCTTTTAGCATGTATATCGGGATTCAGACAATAACTCTGAAAGATACACTCATGGACAAAACTTAAGAAAGTTGTACCTTTTAGCATGTATATCGGGATTCAGAGAATAACTCTGAAAGATACACTCATGGACAAAACTTAAGGAAGTTGTACCTTTTAGCATGTATATCGGGATTCAGACAATAATTCTGAAAGATACACTCATGGACAAAACTTAAGAAAGTTGTACCTTTTAGCATGTATATCGGGATTCAGACAATAACTCTGAAAGATACACTCATGGACAAAACTTAAGGAAGTTGTACCTTTTAGCATGTATATCGGGATTCAGACAATAATTCTGAAAGATATTACAGTGACCTTTATTGAAGACACACGAGATAACCAAGTGTGTATACACTCATGGACAAAACTTAAGGAAGTTGTACCTTTTAGCATGTATATCGGGATTCAGACAATAATTCTGAAAGATACACTCATGGACAAAACTTAAGAAAGTTGTACCTTTTAGCATGTATATCGGGTTTCAGACAATAACTCTGAAAGATACACTCATGGACAAAACTTAAGAAAGTTGTACCTTTTAGCATGTATATCGGGTTTCAGACAATAACTCTGAAAGATATTACAGTGACCTTTATTGAAGACACACGAGATAACCAAGTGTGTATACACTCATGGACAAAACTTAAGGAAGTTGTACCTTTTAGCATGTATATCGGGATTCAGACAATAATTCTGAAAGATACACTCATGGACAAAACTTAAGAAAGTTGTACCTTTTAGCATGTATATCGGGTTTCAGACAATAACTCTGAAAGATACACTCATGGAAAAAACTTAAGGAAGTTATACCTTTTAAAATGTATATAGGGATTCACACTATAACTCTGAAAGACACACTCATGGACAAAACTTAAGGAAGCTGTACCTTTTAGCATGTATATCGGGATTCAGACAATAACTCTGAAATATATTTTATACAGTGACCTTTATTGAAGACACACGAGATAACCAAATTGCCTGTCTCTTAAAAAAAGAAATAGACGACCGGCGACATCAAAGACTTTGCACTTAAGTTTTGTCCATGAGTATATATACAAGTTATGATCATTAAGTTGTTCCCGCGCGGACTCGCTTATTCAATGAAAAACTGAATGAGTTTAAATAAATTTGACCGTTTTTATAAAATATAAAAAGATCGAGCTACCCCGGAAGAAAAAATTAGCCACGTGCTATTTTTATTGTTCGAGAAATTTATATTTAAAACAAACGTAGCTTCGACCTCTTGGTGAATTTTGCGATGGAATTTTTAATCGAACAACGGGTATATTTGAAATTTTGTTTCAATTTGGGTAAATCGGTTTCTGAAAGTTTGCTAATGATTCAAAAAGCGTTCGAAGAAGAGGCTATTAAAAGAACGACGGCTTTCGAATGGTAAAAATTTCAAAGAAGCTGTGACGTCGGTTTTTGATGAGGCAAGGTGCGGGACGCCACAGATTGTCCACACCGCTGAAAATGTTGGAAAGATAAAGGTTTTGATCATCAAAAATCGTCGGATAACAATCAGAGAGATTTCAGAAACGACCAACATATCATTTGAACTATTCCAGGAAATCATTCACAAAGATCTGGGTCTGAAAAGAACTACAAGCAAGTTTGTGCCTCGTGTGTTAACCTCAGAGCAAAAGGAGGCATATTTGGAGATCAGCCAAAACAGGCTCCATATGGTTGAAAACAATCGGAATTGGTAAGATAAAGTGATAACAGGAGAGATGGGTGTATGGATGCGATACTGAAGCATAACGCCAGTCTAGTCAGTAGATAGCACGGAATGAACCAAAACCGAAAAAAGCTCGAATGTGCAAATCAAAAACGAAGGTCCTTCTTGTAACATTCTTCGACAACAAATGACTTGTTCACCATGAATTTATGCCAGATGGAATCACGATGAATCAAAACACTTATGTTTCCATATTGCGGTGCCTTAGGGAATCGATCAGAAAGAAAAGACCGGAAAAATGGTCACGTCAAGATTGGTTCCTCCATCATGACAACGCGCACACAGCCCATTCAGTACTCGCTTTTTTAACAAAAACAACACCCTACTCCTACCTCAACCCCCTTATTCTCCAGATTTAGCTCCCAATGACTTTTTCCTTTATCCTAAATTGTAAATAATCTTGAAAGGGAAGAGGTTTGACACGAAATAAGAGAAAAAGAAAATCACTGGAGGTCTTGAGAAGCCTTAAGGAGGACGCAGCATGTTTCGCTAGTTGGGAGATAAGATGGAGGCGATGTATTGATGCAGGAAGATCCTACTTTGAGAATTATTAACAAATTTTTATAATATTCTGTTGGGAGCTAAGACTTTCCTATTCTAACATCAAGCAGAGTAATCACCAACATCTCGAAGAAATTAATACTTTTAATTTTCCTTTATAACTAACTAATTTACATTTTTATTATATTATTTCGTCTCAATTTACAGGTGTTACATTCGAGTCACCTTGTCCTGGCTGTTTACACATGGCGAGTTGATGGAGTAGAGATGGTCCCCCCGGACCTTGCAGGAGGGCAGCTGTTGGGCGATGAGCTCTTGACTAAGTGTCAGGGCCGGGTCGTCGGAATCGGGGATTGATATCTCCTTTATTTTGTAGAATATCTTGTATGGTTGGATTATTTGAATTTTGCATTTGAAGGTATAATTTCTTAACGGAAGTTTGGTACATATCTTCTAGATCGGATTGGTTCAAGTCCTCCTTCAGTATCTTGTTTGATAGGTTTAATGGAGCTCCTATACTTGTCCGA